GGATGGATGGATGGATGGATGGATGGATGGATGGATGGATGGAAGGATGGATGGATGGATGGATTTCTAACATCCTTCTACCACTATACCCACTGTCACTCCTCTGGACATGTCCAAACCATCTCCGTCAAGCTGTGCTATTGCTGACTTTCATTCTTTTTTCAAGTGCATATCTCCACCTTTTCAAATTATCTTCCACCTGTTTCTGGCTTTCACCACATATCACTATGTCATCTGCAAACATCATAATCCACAGGGATTTCCGCTTTGTGCTTGCTCAAGATGAGAGACTGCAATTAAGTGAATATTCAACATGTCTGCTGGCTTCCTTATACAGAGAACTTTATTAATTGGCTTTTTATATATGTGAATGTTTCTATAAAGTGCCCTGAGACAACTTCTGTTGTGAATTGGCGCTATATAAATAAACTGAATTGAATTCCTGCCTGACCTTATCTGTTAGTTGGTCAATCACTAGATCAAACAAGAAGGAGCTCAGAATAGATCACTGATGCAATTCTACCTCCACCTTGAAGCTATTTGTCACTCCTACAGCACATCTCACTACTTTCCTTCTGGTCTCATTGCATATCCTGCACGCATCTATCATATTTTTCTGCCACTCCAGATTTCTTTACTCTCTGTACTTCTCCATGACCATCCTCTAAGCAAAGATGCCATCTGTGGTGCTCTTTCTTGGCATGAAACTATACTGCTGCTCACAGTCACCTCTTGTCTAACTGTAGCCTCCACAATTCTCTCGCATATGTTCACTCTGTCACTCATCAACTGTATTCCCCTGTAGTTGCTACAACTCTGTACATTACACTTGTTCTTAAATTGGGCACCAGCACACTTCCCCTCCATTCCTCCAGTATTTTTTCAATCTCAAAAATCCCATTCAATAATCAAATCAAAAATCTCACTGCCATTTTTCCTAGGCATTTCTATATTTCCACTGGTATATCTGGTACATCTACTTTCCCCTTCTTCATCCTCTTCAAAGCTCTCCATATTTCATCCTCACTAATCTTTCCCACTTCCTGGTCCACAGTTTCTTTGACATACAGGTCCTTCTAAAAAAATTAGCATATTGTGATAAAGGTCATTATTTTCCATAATGTAATGATAAAAATGAAACTTTCATATATTTCAGATTCATTGCACACCAACTGAAATATTTCAGGTCTTTAATTGTTTTAATACTGGTAATTATGGCATACAGCTCATGAAAACCCAAAATGCCTGTCCCAAAAAATTAGCATATTTCATCCCACCAATGAAAGACAAGTGTTTTTAATACAAAAAACGCCAACCTTCAAATAATCATGTTCAGTTATGCACTCAATACTTGGTCGGGAATCCTTTTGCATGAATGACTGCTTCAATGCGGCGTGGCATGGAGGCAATCAGCCTGTGGCACTGCTGAGGTGTTATGGGGGCCCAGGATGCTTTGATAGCGACCTTAAGCTCATCCAGAGTGTTGGGTCTTGTGTCTCTCAACTTTCTCTTCACAATATCCCACAGGTTCTCTATGGGGTTCAGGTCAGGAGAGTTGGCAGGCCAATTGAGCACAGTAATACCATGGCCAGTAAACCATTTACCAGTGGTTTTGGCACTGTGAGCAGGTGCCAGGTCGTGCTGTAAAATGAAATCTTCATCTCCATAAAGCTTTTCAGCAGATGGAAGCATGAAGTGCACCAAAATCTCCTGATAGCTAGCTGCATTGACCCTGCCCTTGATAAAACACAGTGGACCAACACCAGCAGCTGACATGACACCCCAGTGACTGTGGAAACTTGACAATGGACCTCAAGCAATGTGAATTCTGTGTCTCCTCTCTTCCTCCAGATTCTGGGACCTTGATTTCCAAAGGAAATGCAAAATTTACTGTAATCAGAGAACATAACTTTGGACCACTCAGCAGCAGTCCCAGACGAGATGCTTCTGACGCAGTCTCTTGTTCAAAAGTGGCTTGACCTGGGGAATGCGGCACCTGTAGCCCATTTCCTGCACACGCCTGGGCACGGTGGCTCTGGATGTTTCTACTCCAGACTCAGTCCACTGCTTCCGCAGGTCCCCCAAGGTCTGGAATCGGCCCTTCTCCACAATCCTCCTCAGAGTCCGGTCACCTCTTCTCGTTGTGCAGCGTTTTCTGCCACACTTTTCCCTTCCCACAGACTTCCCACTGAGGTGCCTTGATACAGCACTCTGGGAACAGCCTATTTGTTCAGCAATTTCTTTCTGTGTCTTACCCTCTTGCTTGAGGGTGTCAATGATGGCCTTCTGGACAGCAGTCAGGTCGGCAGTCTTACCCATGATTGCGGTTTTGAGTAATGAACAAGGCTGGGAGTTTTTAAAAGCCTCAGGAATCTTTTGCAGGTGTTTAGAGTTACGTCGTTGATTCAGATGGTTAGGTTAATAGCTTGTTTAGAGAACCTTTTCATGATATGCTAATTTTTTGGGACAGGTATTTTGGGTTTTCATGAGCTGTATGCCATAACCATCAGTATTAAAACAATTAAAGACCTGAAATATTTCAGTTGGTATGCAATGAATATGAAATATATGAAAGTTTCATTTTTATCATTACATTATGGAAAATAATGACCTTTATCACAATATGCTAATTTTTTGAGAAGGACCTGTATACTATTTCCCATGTTTATTATCTTTATTCATTTGCTCCTCAAAGTACTCCTTTCGTCTTCCATTACACTTTTCTCACTTGTTAGAACATTACCATTACCATTTCTATCTTTATTGATAAAGATAAAAATGGCCTAAATTACTGCACATCCTTTCAAACCTGATCCTCCTGTGTCAGGACGATACAAGTTTTTCTCTCCCTCCTTAGCTTCCAGCCTCTTGTACAACTCATGTGCCTTCTGTTTTGCCTTTGCTATTGATATTTTTCTTTTGTTTTCATATTATTGACTTTCAACAACATTAACATGCACTGCACAATATGTTCAGATACAAGGATTGAAAAGAGAATGTGTGAAGTTCAAGAAAAAGCTTAGAAAGACTTTGAGGGCCTGGAGAGGAATCGATCAATGACAAATTAAGATTAGAAGCAAGTCTGGTTGTTAAGATGAAGTTTACAAAAATAAAGTATTTTGTAGAGATAAGTGTAAATCTCATTTCAATCTTTGATTCTGAAAGATTTTTTGTACCTTTGTGTTTTCAAAGAAACTGCTTTACACACAACTCGAGTAAATAGTTATCCCCTGTATTTAATTCAGCAGAAAGCTAAAAGCATTTAATTTGAAAAGTGATCTCTAAGTTTACTTGGAAGGGTCAAACATAATAATTATATGATGCTGAAAGTATCTTGTTATTCCTTAAACAACCATTTGAGATTGATGTTTAAGAAATACCTAAAATTGTGAAACTGTGGTTCAGGGAACATGAGTTATTTATCATTTAAGAGAAAAAAATCATATCAACTATAGTGATATTGTGTCTTTATCAAAGCAATATTTAGTTTTTATTAGCTCTATGTTGTTATCATGTTTCTGTGCAGTTTACTTCTAACATATAACACTTACCAAATGACAATGGCAACAATCTTCAGAACCGCTTCATTCAAACTCTGGCAGAAGTTGACCAAAGCACTTCCGTTAGGCCCCATTCTTCCCAGCATTATTCCTGGATTGAGAAGCATATAGAGAAGCAATTAAAGGCCTAACACTCCTTAAAGGAATGCAAAATGCTTACTGCCTTTCATGATGCTGCCTTTTTAATTCAAGATGGCTACCTCAGCCATCTGCCTAGTGCTCAGAGTATGTGTTGAGGACGACTCCTCGCTACTGCTACATAAACTTTACTGAAACATCTGTCATTTTGTGCATAGTATAGCAATTTCTTCTTGGTAAAGGTCAATTGGCTATGACAGCCATTTTGAGTTGGGTTTACATACAAAGTTAATGAATTATAGAAGAACATTGAATACTTATTGAGAGTTTCATAAAATCTGTTCAAAGGTTTGTGACACATTTTGTTATCAGACAGACACTTGAATCTAAGAATTACAGACATGCACATTTGCTTAAGCAAAACTGTCACACATGGGATAGTGCACCCAGAGTGTGTTGAGGATGGTTCTTGGCTACAAGCACACCAAATTTTAGCTCAAAATCTGTAAAATTGGGTGAGTCATAGCCATTGTTGTGTTGGCAAATGTATTTTAGCTGTGATAGCCGTCTTAAACTGGACTGATTAAAATTGAACCGTCTGGGCCAGTATGTCTTAGTGGTTAGCACTGTTGGCTTAAAGCAAGAAGCTCCTAGAATCAAAGCCCAGGTTGGATGTAGATTTTTTCTATGTTGAGTTTGCATGTTCTCCTCATGTTTGACTGAGTTTTCACATGGTACCCTAGTTTTTTTTTTTCCAGAGTCCAAAAACATGCACATTTAGGCTGCTTTCAGGCCCAGACCTCCATTGAGAAAGAGATCCATGATTTCAATGGGAGTTTCCTGGTTAGTTAAAGATCCAAGCGGTGGCTCATAAGGGAGGTTATTTTGCTGGTTAACAGGGTTAATTTCAACAACTGATGCTAAAGTTTAAAGCAAAGAACTCACACAATGAGTAGCACTCAGAGTGTTTGTTGTAAATCACTCTCAACCACAAACACAAGATTTTAGCTCAATATCTATAAAATTGGCTCAATTATAAACTCACCTCTCTCCCGGCACACACAACAAGACAAAAATATCTCCTGCCTTTTTACTTTTTGCAGCGGGCAATAATCATGCTCTGTAGACAAGTAAGTGGTGCAATTATCCGTTGAACACTTATGAAGATGTTTTCCTCTGTGATAACTGTTCTGGGAGTGCAGCACTTTGCAAACTGAATGGTCATGAAATACATCAAGACCTAAACTTTATAGCATAGCTTTTGTTTTTGAAGTGTGTGCTCATGTCAAACACTCACCCATAGTTGCAGAAAAGATAACAATTCCCAGCACATTCATGCCCTCACTGGTTCCAGGTGACGTCTTCACAATGACATCAGGAGGGGGCGTCAGGTCTAGGGAGAAGTTCTGGATGTCTGTTCCGTTGTCATCCTGGACACCGTAAATGTAGACCCGACGTGTGGTGGTCTCATCCAAGAGCTGAGCCACTGTTGGTTTTGGGATGAGTTCTGCGACTCGCTGCGTTCGATACTTGAAATCAAAACAGAGCAAAGAATTTGGATGCAATAAAAAAGAAAGATGTTGTACTTAACATAGTTTTCTAAATTGCATTTTTCTTGTGTTCCCGAGGGAACTTGTTTTAAAAGACAGAATGTAAATACTAATTATAAAGATATAATTCCACAACTAGCCTAGACTATTTATCTTCAATTATGAAACGTTGGCAACAATCATGGCGGTGTGACTTCCAGTTTAAAATATTTATGATTCTGTAACAATGTTATATTTTGCCACATGTTTGCACATTTTTTATGTTTTGCCATGTGTCAAAATGTGTACAAATGAATTGGTATGTGTATTTTTGGGCTATATGACATTTTGTACATAAAGTGTTTCAGTTATGTTGCATATGTCTTTGGTTCATGGTTGGAACAGAGTCAACACAGCATGTGCTATGAAGTCAAGGCGTAACCGTCTTGTTGTTTCTGTTGACGGGACATTTTAATTTCATGTGTGACACTCTTGCATCTTATCTGTGGCATTAATCAGCATCTTCTTTTTCCAGTTCTTTCATGAGCCTGTGTCAACATCTAGAGTTTGCTAAATATTATAATTAGCATTTGAAGACAAGCATAGAGCCAGTGGATGAAGTAGATTTCAGAGAGCTAAATGTATTTCAATGAAAGAAAATTAGTAAATACAATTAAATATTTTGAAAAGTATGAAAGTTACAAACATAAAAGCAGTAGCACCCATCCCCTGAAGAAGCTAAATGTTTTTTTAATGTATATAAATGGCTCAAAGAACAAAGTGTACAGAGGTAGATTTTTAAAAAATGATTGAAACACAACAGGCTAAAAAATGTGAAGGCTGAATCAACATTCACACACTAATTACATTTTAGGCCCTACATAGCATCTCTGTGTAAGTTATGACTTTGTAATTTAAGTCCCTTAATTGTTATTATTTACAGTACATTAAAAGTGTCCCAGATTAAATAATAATAACCAGCAGTAATTAGTTTAATTTTGGTTAGTTTTCACTTTGCATGTCAAATATATACAAAACAAACTTTTCTTTACTTTTAACAAATCGTCTTGTGTCCTGTTCAAAAAGACATTTATGTGTTGTGCTTTGTTTCTTTTAGATATTTTCACACAGTTTATTTTTCTAGAATTGATGTATTTAAGCACGCTAAGTGCTCACTGTTGTTTTATTACATAAAAAACATTTAAAAGTTCTATAGTCTGTCTATTGCAGAAAACATATTTGCCCGTATATTCCCACAACCTATGCTTTCACCATAATTCCAGAAAATCATGACTTTTGCATTTTTTCTTACCTGTTGAAATGTAGCTTGAACCAGGTTGGCTGGAAACATGTTGCTAGAAAAGAAAGTTTGGCAAAGTGTTAACAAATCATTCACATTTATCACACGAACACATACAGTATTTTATTGACAACAGTTTATCTTTGTCTCACACCTCAGCACCACATTGTGAGATAACACAAAAATCACAAGTATAGGGGCATAGGTAAAAAATAAACATTACTGAGAGGATTTTATTTTATGATTTGAAAAATATTAGATTAAAATTTGTAGTTATAATAAGTTCTTATTTGGTTGATTTCCCCCCTAAGTAACATAAGAGTGTAATAAAGTTACTGAGGTTATGAGAGAGTTTGAAAAAATTCAGACACAATAAAAACAAAGAAGGATTTTTAGAATTTGTCAGAAAAAAATTAAAGCAGATTCATAAATGTGTGGCTTGTTTTCCACAAAAGATAATACAAGGTTTAAACAGAGTTGAGGATAATTTCAGTGAAGCTGAGTATAGAAGAGCTGACAGCTGTCAGCATAATGTGGATTTTTACTGGTTATAGGAGCTGTGGTAGCTCGGTGGTCAGTGCCTGAGGTTGTGGGTTCAAACCCAGGTTGCATCATTCAACCTCGCGTCCCACGTAAAACAAATTGCCAAATCTTTCATGCAAGTTCACTCACTGGGGTGATCCCTGAAGAAGGGAGCAGCCGAAAAAACCTTACCTTACATTATTTAGTCTGTGACACTAAGCTTTGGGAAGCCTTAATAATAATAATAATACTTTATTTATAAAGCCCTTTAAAACAACCACAGCTGCCACAAAGTGCTGTACATATAAAATCAAGAACATTTAAACACATAAAAACAGTTGTTAAAACATTAAGATCAATAAAAGTAATAAAAACAGTGCAGATCAAATTCAGTCTGTGCTAAAAGCCAGGGAGTAAAAATGTGTTTTTAAAAGAGTTTTAAAACTGGACAGTGAAGGGGCTTGTCTGATGGGAAGAGGGAGATCGTTCCACAGTCTTGGAGCGGCAACAGAAAAAGCTCTGTCCCCTCTGAGCCTCCGCTTAGACCTCGGCACCTCCAGGAGCAGCTGATCAGCTGATCTGAGGCACCGAGCAGGAGAGTATGGGTGAAGCAGCTCAGAGAGGTAGGATGGAGCAAGACCATTTAAACTTTTAAAAACAAATAAAATAATCTTAAAATGAACTCTAAAATGAACAGGCAGCCAGTGGAGTGAAGCCAGAGTGGGGGTGATGTGCTCCCTTTTTTGAACTCCAGCAGCGTTCTGGACCAGCTGGAGGCGTCTGAGGGAGGACTGGCTGACTCCAAGGTAAAGAGCGTTACAGTAATCCAGCCGAGAGGTGACGAAGGCATGGATTACTGTTTCCAGCTGCTGTTTTGTAAGGATGGTCTTTACCTTAGCCAGCTGTCTGAGGTGATAAAAACTGGTCTTGACCACCGCTCCAATCTGGGACCTTTAATCAATGTACAGAAACATCAGCAGACCTACCAATGTTTTATTTGTTGCTCACTGTCAGTTCATTGTGATGTTGGTGCATATACACTGCCTGGCCCCCAAAAAAGTCACCACTTGGATTTAACTAAGCAAATAGGTACGAGCCTCCTGTTGGATAATTACTGCATGGGCAATTATCTTTCAGCTGGCAACAAGTTATTTAACCCCAACTGGTATAATGAGATGCTTTTCATTTCTTAAACAGCCATGTTGAAAGACACATGGCGTGTTCGTGGAAAAGATGTCAGTCTGGTTGAGAAGGGTCAAATCATCGGCATCAAGCAGAGAAAACATCTAAGGAGATTGCAGAAACTACTGAAATTGGGTTAAGAATTGTCCAACGCATTATTAAAAACTGGAAGGATAGTGGGGACCCATCGTCTTGAAGAAGAAATGTGGCCAGAAAAAAATCCTGAATGATCTTGATCGGCGATCACTTAAACATTTGGTGAAACCAAATGGAAGAAAAACAACAGCAGCACTCAGGGCTGTGTTTAATAGTGAAAGTAAGAGCATTTCCACACGCACAATGTGAAGGAACTCAACTGGGACTGAACAGCTGTGTAGCCTTAAGAAAACCACTAACCAGTGACTAACTGGAAAAAAAAAAAGCCTCAATTTGCTAGTGAGCATAAAGATTGGACTCTGGAGCAATGGAAGAAGGTCATGTGGTCTGATGAGTCCAGATTTACTCTGTTCCAGAGTGATGGGTGCATCAGGGTAAGAAGAGAGGCAGGTGAAGTGATGCACCCATCATGCCTAGTGTCTGGTCATCAATGCAAGATCTTGGTGAAAAATGAATGCAACACTGGATGGAAATAGATTTTTTGACATTGCAGAAGCTTATCGAAACAATGCTACAGTGAATGCATGATGTAATCAAAGCTAAAGGCAGTCCAACTAAATATTGGTATGTGACCTTTTTTTTGGTGGCAACTTTTTTTTTTTTTTTTTTGCCAGACAGTGTATCTGCATACAGAACAGGTAACTGACATCTGATGGACAAAATGTTTTGAGGTATTTATTAATTGTTCGGCATGAATGCTTTCAGTCAAAGCTAACCTCCTGCAATATGCTGCCCCTTGAGCAGCACAATGGATAAGAGGCAAACACTGTTGCCTCACAGCAAGAAAGTCCTGGGTTGGGTTTGAACTGGGGACTTTGTGTGGAGTTTGCATGTTCTCCTTGTGTTAGCATGGGTTTTCTCCTGGCGTACCGGTTTCCTCCCACATTCCAAAAATATGCATGCTACGCTGCCTTCAGGCCCAGGCCTACTTTGCACAAAAGATCAGAGGGAATTACCTGGTTATATAAATGTTAATTATACATGTCAGTATTATAAAAGTATTTTATTATTTTGTCTATTTTTTCCTGCAATCTGTGGTTATCAGCAAAAGCAAATAGATGCAAGTCTTTTGTTGCTACCTGGTGTCAAACATCTCATTATGTTATTATAACATGTTATAATAACATGTTATTATAACATGTCTAACAAAAGATCTGTGAAATGCAAAAGTGACCACAGTGAAAAGGTTCATAAAATCTATTTGCATAAAATATTGTGAAATTTTTGGCGCTGAAATTGTTTTAAGATGACAGCAATTCTCTTTGCTCTTAGTGGTTAGTTTGTCAGGCCTGCAAAAATTAAAGTATTTATCTAAACTGCTAACTTCATAAAATAAGTGTTTATGAGCAATGATCCCACTTAAAAATATCTGGACTATTGCTTTAAAACTGCCTCTACAACAATATGTCAAACAGATTTTGAAGAAGATGTTCGTGTCAGGATGTTTTTTCTGTCACCGTATTTTCCGCCGTACATGTCGCTCCACCCTATAAGTCGCATCAGTCCAAATAATGTATGTATAATAAAGTGGAAAAGTCCATAAATGCGTCACTTCGCCGTATACGTCACATCTATTATGCATCATCGCTGACGTGTTGCATTTGTTACGCATCACCACTGACAACCAGGAAACGTGGGATGGTGTGCCAAAAATCGATTGGCTGCCAAATGGCGGCCACGGGAGCATGCATAGGAGGACTTTAACAAGCATTTAACAAGATTAACACTTAAAAACAATTATTTGTTTGCTCGAAATTATAGTAAATGTGTGTCTCAGACTAATTTTTTCTTAATAAATGCACTTTTACAGTTAAATCAGCAGCATTTCAAAAAAATGATTTGCAGAAGCAGGCACTCTTGGAGTAATGAGCCGCTGTGCATTTCTTTGAAATTTAACAAGATAAACACCTAAAAACAATTGTTTGTTTGCTTGACTTCATAGCAGAGGTGTGTCTCAGTTGAACTTTTACTTAATAAAAGGACTTTAACGGTCAAATCAGTTGTATTCATTTCCTCAGTTCTCCAGGGAGCGCGTAGACAAGGAAGAAAAAAGGAAGGAGGAACGTTGCGCGTTTTTTTCGAAATTCCACAAGATAAGCACCTAAAAACAATTATTTGTTTGCTCAACATTATAGCAAAGGTGTGTCTCAGTTGAACTTTTACTTAATAAATGCACTTTATTGGTGGCAGCACGGTGACGCAACTGGTAGAGCTGCTGCGTCTCAGCGAGAAGGTTGCCAGTTCAAATCCCAGTCCGGGTGCCTTTCTGGGTGGAGTTTGCATGTTCTCTCCATGCAAGTGTGGGTTTTCTCCCACAGACCAAAAACATGCATGTTAGTCTGATTGGTAACTAAATTGTCCCTAGGTGTGAGTGAGAGAGTGAATGGTTGTTTGTCTCTATGTGTCCCTGTGATGGACTGGAGACCTGTCCAGGGTGTACCCCGTCCCTCGCACAGTGATTGCTGGACATGGGCACCGGAGACCCCCGTGACCCAAAATGGAAGAAGCGGGTAAAGATAATGGATGGACTTTAATGGTCAAATCAGCTGCATTTCACTGGGGCAGTGCAGCGAAATGAAGCTAATTTGACGGTTGCTCCAAGCGAGCTGGACAAAGGTGGCAGGCTATGTCAAGCCGACTGTGTCATTAATAGTCACTTTTACCTATTACATGATGCAACGGCATGCCATACTACTCGAGTGCCATTTAGCGGCTGAAAATGGTAGTGTTCAATATTTTCAGGAAGACTGAATGAAACGGTCATATATCAGCCAAAAATTGGTTTATAAATATGGGAACAATCCATAAATACATTGCTTCAGCCTATAAGTCACAGGACATGCAAAATAATGCAACTTACTGTATAGGGCAAAAAATATGGTCATTTGTTTAGCTTTGTTTATATTTTTTTTATGTTTTTATTTTATTATATTTTATTTTTTTATTAATTCATCTTGCTTTTGTATAGTAATTTTGTTTGGAATATATTTTGGGGACAAGGGGCAGATATTATAAGAATTCATTCTTCTTCTGCTGCCTTTCATTTTATTTCTGTGATTGTATATCTTTTTTCTTTTCTTTAAATTGTATTATATTTGTTGTTTGGATGAAATGAAATGAATAAATAAAACATACATACATACATACATACATATTGCGGTCCTTGTAGTTTTGTTACTTATGTTCCCCCTTTGT